AATCAAACGCACTGGTGTACAACAATGCTCACGTCGTGATGACTTTGTTTGGGGGATTCTAGCAAAATGTTTACCATGCCCTGTTCATCGTTATCTTCCTCGGAAACTGCCGACAAATGACTGCTTGCAACTGATGGCGCTGCCTGGGTGATTGCAGAGGGCTCAAGCACTCCTGTTGTTGTTGCGGTACAATGAATGAGGGGACTAGCTGTGCTGGAAAGATCTGTGGATGTAGCAGTGGCTCCTGTCAAGCTGCTTATGGCAGTGGTTGAGCTGCCAAGTGGTGTCGTTGATCGGCTTGTTGTATCCCGTGATGGCGGTGCTGTAACGCCGGCTAGTAGATAATCCTCTGAAACACAGCAATAACTGCGTGTCCGTCAAATGAATAACTGTTTTTTTCCGACGTAGGACTTGTGCTTTAGTTGCGCCCAATAACAAGATTTTAATCGAAGGAAAAGAGATCCAAACAGCGAATTAATCGGGTCACAACGATCCAAGTTAACCCCTCCCTCTTCTTCTGTATTAATTTCTTATGAGAAACAAAAGCTACTCTTATGCTAAACGCCAGAAATTTCAACTTTATTCGTGGGAAGAACCATCTTTTTGACTCTTTTGAACGTTATGGTACTGCTACATACCAGGAAGGCGCCACCAACTTTCCTCTGAGCAACTTTCGGGAAAAAAAACCCCGCTCGACAGCTTCGGAGCATTGTACGAATACAAGTTTGAAAAAAACCTTCTGAGAATGCTTTCGTTTCTCACCAAATGTGAAGGAACTTTGACTTTCGAAAATTTTTCAAAGAATTATCAACATACACATACCACTGGCTATATTCTTGGGATTTCTGAGGTCAAAAAACAGGAATTTTTCGTTCCTAATATAATGGGAAGCTAAAGCGAAGCAAAAAAACTTTAAAAACACATAGACAGGCGAAGGTACCTCGTGTCGGCAGATAGATACTGAGTATCTTTGTGTGCTTTTTTCTTTCCAGCAGCGCAAACATCTTCGACTGATCGAATGGGCACATCCGATCTTCCTCTGTTGCCGGTCCGCCTGCACCAGCATCCACATATAACTGCAATGTATCACATTTTATCACAATTTCTTAAAGCTGAGAGGGGAGGGGAAAACATCGACCGCTTTACAGCGTGTAGCTTATATCGGCACCTACTATACATGGAACATTTCCAAGTGCCC